TCTAATGAGGCCATTTAAACCTCAAACCCCTACTCAGCCGGCTAAGGCTCTGAGCCTGTGATCGGAAGGTTGTTGGTTTGAGCCCCAGCCTCAGCAGAACAGTCACATGTCCGTGGGTCCTTAAGCCTCAGCTCCAGGGGTGCCACACGATGGCTGGCCCTATGCTATGGAGAGCAAGATGGGGGAGCTGCACATTTCATCCAACATTATATCTACCTGGCGGGTGAGCAGTGAGGGATGCAGTGGGGTGGGCAATGCAGTGGGTAACAGTGGTAAAGGTTGTCGACCAAAGGAGGGGAGGGGGGTGGTGGTGGGGTGACAACAGTGAAAGTTGTCAACCGGGGGGTTCCTACAGCCTCCCTACAGAGCCCCCTAGTGACGCCCATGGTAACGGATATGAATGAGAAGTCAGCGATCGGCCTTCGGTCACTGGGGGGGCAGGTGTATGTGTTGGGGCAGGGTTAGGACAGATCAGACAGGATGTCGGGGATGGGTGACCGTGGGCGCCAAGATGTCTAACTCGGCGCTCACTCATGGTGACCAGGCGGTTTGGTCACACGGGCGCCCTGCGTCATCGCCAAGGTGAACCATCACTAGACGTCTAACAGGCTGAAACGGGACCAGAAGAGGCACACAGGGCATTCCAGACCCTCCCTGAGTCCTGCCTTTATTTGATCGGTGAAGCTGAAACACTGACCCCACTTAACAACAAAAGGTGCTCTGTCAACGCATGAGAGGTCTGTGGTCACTGCCTCTACGGTACACATCTGGCACTGGCGTGCCCCTGTTTCCCGTCCTCAGCCACCCAGCCTATCAGAGATAGCAGACAGGGCTGAGATAAGGCCTGACTCGCTATGATGGCTCGTATTGGCCAACCCTCCCTTTAAATGTACCTTACAAAGACTGCGGTCAAAAAACGATATTGACTGATGTGGAAAAGCGTTTCAGATTAACTACCTTCCATCGAACTGAGAGTCGTCAACGTGATTAACTTTATCAAGCAATTAATAAATTAAAAATGTATTTAGATGACTAATGCTGTTCTCTTATGCATGTGTCTGCTTTGTAGAAACACCCAGAGTGGTCATTGCAACACTTACTGATGTATTAGGACTGTATGCTCAGTCTGCACAAGAACTTTTAAAACCTTTTATTTTGATTTCCTATGTTTCTATTGGCAAGAAATGCATCCATTAGGCACGTTTTCACTTTTGTCTTAGATGGTGTAATTAAATTTCAAAATCATGGGTCCCCAAGGGCGTAATGGAATGAGGCTAATCTGCAGCAGGCAATGTGGAAAGAGAATTTTGGGTTAGGGTGGAAGTTACTGATCTGCTGCATGCGTCCAAATAATGTGATTTGATTTTGAAGAATTTGCACCAAGGAAAATGCCAGATTATATTACTTTTTAAGACTTTATTTTCTAAAGACAAGTGAGTAATATCATGCCGTTAGCAGAGTTAGGCATTATATTAACTTGTTTAGTTTTAATAAACAACAGCAACTGGTAATGCTTTATATTAACTGCACCTTCATATTTCATTTCATTATTCACAGAACATTCATAAGCAGCATGTAAGTATACCTTAACATCCAAACATACCTTAACTGTATTAATATACATTAATAACAAACATTATACAATTGTAATGTTTGTTATTATCATATAATGTTTGTTACTAATGTAAATTAAATCTGTTAAAATGTGTTAGGATGTTAAGATATATTTACATGCAATGTTCTATGAATGCATGCAGAAGGCGCACTGAATGATCTACAAATGCATTGTAAAGGCATTTTGAAAGTTCAGTCAATTCAATTCAGTTTATTTATGTCGTGCATTTTCTCAACATTACATTGTCTCAAAGCCCTTTTTATTGGCCCCGCCCAAAGCCCCCAGTGAGCAAGCCAGAGGCGACAGTGGCAAGGAAACACTCCCTAGAAAGACGAAACCTTGGGAAAGTACAGTTAATGTAAATCGTTTGCCAGCAATTGTCAGCCATTGTCTAGATCTTATGAAGGAATAGAAAATGAAAATAATTACAAAACAACACAAAACACACGTGTACAACAGTACAGTAAGAAAAGCAGCTGCTGGTGGTTAGTTCTGGTGCTGTGCTGGTGCTGTGCTGCAGTCTTTTAAAGGCTGTAGAGGAAGAGATTGTGGTGCTGAAAGAAGCCTAACTGCAAGTTTTATTTGTAGATTTGATCTAATACAAATGGCTACTGGTTAAACAGCAGTTAACATTCAGGAGAGTCACAGGAAATCATATTATTATATGAAATGAAAATTAAATTAAAACAAATAATCAAATGTGGAATCCATCCATTTTCTGTTCTGCTTATCCAAGTCAGGGTCACGGTGAAAAATATCCTACAAATAGCCTAATGGCCTATGTAGCTTCTGAGGAAAAACTCAATTATGTTATGTATGAAAAAAAAACTGAAGAGTGACACTACATACGAAACCCTATACAAAGCGATAAATCAGTGATCATTCATACCATTCTCATACAGGACCATTGTTTTATCTCCACTGTTATTCTGAGAAGACTAGTTGGCTTTATAGACATAACAAAACAGGGCAACAATCAAGGATCTCATCCCTTGACTGTTGTAGACAGAACCCTTGAGCTGGCTTAGAATCGTTCCGAAAGTCACTGGCTAAAGTTTGGTGACAGCTGTGTTATACACAGGAGCTGAGGCCTCGACTTCGTTGTGGTTGGCAACCTTCAGCTGCTGGGACTCGAAGTGTTTGTTTTCCTTGCTGGCTGGGAAGATGGGCATGATGAAGGGACGCCTGCGTCGATTTTTCGAGAGGCACTCGAAGCAGCGTTTTCCCACCAGGTAAACGATCTCACAGAGGGTTAGCAGGATGCAAATGAAGCTGGTGACTACCATGAAGATGGTGAAGATGCGTTTCTCTGTGGGTCTGGAGATGTAGCAGTGAACATTGGGAGGGCAGGGACTCTCGTTACACACGACCAGCAGGGGGAAGAACTTGACCTTGTAGATGTACCAGACCAGGAAAATGAAGACGGCGTCCACCGCTACCTTAAAGACGAGGCTCAGGAGGTAGGTCCACCACAGGCCGCCGCGCTTCTTGTTGGCATCGGCGTAGAGGTGGGTGCAGCCCTCGCCGTACTTGAGCGTGTGCTTGTGCTCGCGGTCCATGCGGTACGCCACGTGCAGGACCACCAGCAGCGAGGGACAGGTGACAAAGATGAGCTGCAGGGCCCACAGACGCGTGTGGAGCACTGGGAAGAACTCGTCGTAGCAGACATTGAGGCAGCCAGGCTGTAGCGTGTTGCACTTGAAGTTGCTCTGCTCGTCGCTCCACACCTTCTCTGCCGCCACCACGAACACCAATACCCGGAAGATGAAGACCACGGAGAGCCAGATGCGGCCGAATGCAGTGGAGTACTTGTTGACCCCGCTGAGGAGGCCCTGGAGGAACGCCCAGTTCATTGTGCACCGAAGTGACTGTCCAAACGCTGCACAGACTCACGGGTGCTCTGAACCCATTCCAGTAATCTTCACTTTCTAAAATGGGATTAGAGAGAGAGAGCTCAGTACACCTTTTCAATAGGGACTAAAAGGTGGAAAAGCGCACCCTGTTAGCTCATAGGTAAACGTCACCGTGTAACACCCTCCATAGCTGACAATAGCGCGGCTAGGAACGCCTGTTTGCTTAAAAACGCGATAACGCGTTACGATCAGGAGGGCAGGCATACAATCACGAATTCACACGAAATGCCTAAAAGACGAAAATGCATACGGCACTCGAATCCGTGGATAATGTCATGAAACAAAGTATGTTAAATATAAAGGAAGGTTTGAAAATAAAATAAATAATTTTAATTAATTTCAGAATAAATACAAATACTCGGCTTTATGTCACTACACGATTTATACGCGTTGCATTATGTACAGACAAACTAATATTGTATTACATCAGTACACATTAATTTTAAGGATCAAATTAAAACATAAATAATTGACAACAAATTGATTTGAATGGCTGATCAGCGTAGAAAATTGTGCTCATGCTTAAAAAAATCAGTGCAAATCAGTGCTTCAGATTTGAGTTTCCCTCCTCAGAATACAAACTAGTACTTCCTGCTGCAGATCGGGACGAGATGGGGTGAGAGGTCAGGCAGACACGGCGGTTCCCGGAGGCTCCGGCTGTCGCATCCCGGGACAATGTGACCCCGGTATTACAGCTGGTAGCTGGGAGGACCGCTGGCAGCCAGTGCGGGCAGTGAGGCGGTCGCTGCAGCTCTGATTGCGCGCTGCTGCGTGTGTGAGGTTCCGGGCACCGCGGTGACTGTACGGGCTGCTGCACGCTTCATCTCCCCGGCTGGAGGTAAGGGCAGCGAGCTGCTCGGCTGTGCACCGCAGCCCCCCGGACCGTGATCTGTGGTGTCATGGAGAAAGTGGAGAGCACAGTGCACGCATTGATGCTGACAGTCTCCGTGATGGCTTATTTTTTTCCTATGCATTTACCTCGTCCCAGTACTAGATGCGTGTATGGTTGGTTTCAGATACTGGGTAGTAGATCTGATTGATTGCAACTGAGGCATAAGTGGGTAAATGAAATTAACGAGTAGCTAGTTCTCAAGATCAGGCAGATGCGGTATTTGCGGGACAGAAAGGGGCGCTTGACTGTTAACGCGCATCTGTAACTTAAACCTAATACCGTAGGTTGGTAAGGTTAACAGTAACTAAAAACTGATTAATGTCTGACATTGGGAAATATTAATCTATGGTTCAGTGTTTATTTTTGTCGGTGGCTGCGACGGTAAATATGCTTTGGCTCTTTCAGCTGGCCCACCGCCAGTAACTCTCCGGTTTCCGTGAGCCATGCGACAGTGGTGCCTTCCGGCTGTGGCCCCCGGCGCAGAGCCGCTCCTGACCGACAGGCTGTCTCCGCCGCTTGCAGGTGTGTTGCTTCCTCTGGGCTGCTCTGCTGTGACTTAAAGCTCAGGTATCCGTCCCAACGTGACCCAATAAGCCCAAACAAAAGTCCAGTCAGAGAGCCCGAATCTGGAAGACTATGTTCCCATAACATCTAGGACTCTTCCTGTATCTACTGACTGGGCTCTGCTGTCTGAATAATTGGTTTTCATGATAAGAAATGGTAAAAGCAGCGTAAGTGATGTCCGGTTTGCCCCTCGTGCTTCAGATGAGAGGATGGAGGACTGTGAGATGGAGCCACGTTACACCATAGAGCAAATAGACCTCCTTCAGCGTCTGCGCCTGTCTGGAATGTCCAAACCCCAGATCGTCCAGGCCCTCGAGTCCTTGGAGAGATTAGATTCAGAACATCACCGACAGCCTTGCTATGATTCCACCGCCACCCCAAATGCTGCCCCAGCGGCGGCTGCGCCCTCATCCTCATCCTCGTCCTCCTCGTCTCTCACCTCCGCCACCACGCAGACACCAAACCTGGATGCATCCCTGTCGCCCAGCAACAGCTACGAGGCCTCGCCACCCCCCCTCTACCCCACCACTGGGGCACAGAGGTCATTCAGTTACGACCTCACTGAGGAGGATTGGGATTTGGAGCAGAAAGTGGAGGAATACATGAGGTAACAATCCTGTTTGAATATCTGACCTGCCACCAGGTGGCGCAATGGTTAAGGGAGTAAATTTGTCAATACACACTAGCAGGTTAAGGTCATAATGAGCTCTTTTCTGTTGTAGCCTAGTGATTATTTATGAGGTAGATGTAGTTGTAAAAAATAATAAATGTAAAATGGATTAATCTACTAAGCGACTTCATGAAAAGACAGTATGCCGCAAGTCTACGAAAATCTACGTTTCACAAGTTTCCTTACAGTTTTTATGTTTTTGAAGAGGTCATACCCAGCCTTAAAAATAAAATCTCTAGGGATGTGAGTGATATATTTTCGGCCGCCCCATTAAGCTGTTAAATTAGTTTGTAGGTTTTAGATTTCTAAACATAGATCTGACAGCCTCTGGGGCCTGCTGGGCCGTGGGAGTTCTTACAGTGAGCTTCTACCTCTTCTTGTAATAGTCGTAGCGATGTCATTGTAGAATTCCACACAGGATTTGTAGCCTGGAGGTGGGACTGTTGCTTGATGGGTCAGGGGTTAACATTTTTGCCTCATGCCCCCGGGGTTGTGGGTTCGAATCCTGCTCCTACATCTGAGTGTGTGATTTGTGGTACTTTTTATTGGGGTCCATAACTGCCTTGCCATGGACTGGTGTCCTATTCAGAGTGTACCCTTCCCGATACCCTACATATCTCAAGACAGGCTGCACATCACTGTGCTCCTCATAGGATAAACTGTTAATAAGCCCGTCCATTTAATTTTATCTCGCAGACCTTCAGAACATCATGTGCCCGTTTTGTGATTACTGGATCCCATTAAAGTGCAGTTTCCATCGGTGTGGAGCGTTTTGTACGCATTTTATACGAGTTATGAGTTACAGTACAGTAAAAGTCAAAGAGTCATAGGTGGTCAGACCGATGATTTGATAACTGATCACTAACAGGGGGGGTAGTATGTGTGTATTTGTGTCTGGGATCTTTTTGTAGCCTGTCTACAAGGGCATAACTTTGGGGTAAGCACTGGGGGGCTGAGGTTTCCACCCATTTAAGGGGTCCAAGGGGTGGTATTGGCTGGTTTTGATTATTGGGGGAGGGGGGTGATAAACCCCCCTCCCCCCATAATTACGCCCATGCCTCTCTATATATCCTGATTTCAGAAAAGACAGCAATCTGGTGAAGGAGGAGATCAAGTCATTCCTCAACAGCCGGAGGATCTCTCAGGCCATCGTGGGACAGGTGACAGGTGCTGTGACCAATCAGAAGGCTGCTTTCCTAAACTGCATCTTACCACTACTAAGGAATGTTTTGTTTTTTCATTTTTTTTTTTTAACAAAGATCTTTTTTTTTTAGCTCCTCCTGCCCAGCCCAGACTTTCACAGTTCAATAGGCCTGGGGACTATAGTCCCCCCATGGGATTCTGGGAGATGGCGCTTATTTTCTCAGTTGTTCCCTTCCCTCACCCCTCCCTTGCCCACAAGCTATCTCAAGGGAAACCATACATCATAAACAACAAGCAGAGAAGGGCCCTAAGACTTCAACCGCTCCGCGTAAACCGTGCGGTATTTCCTTTCTGATCTGCCGTCGTGAGAACGCTCAGTGGCCGTGGTGAGGCTTATTCTCCATTCTGGCTCCCTAGGGATCAGTCAGAGCTACATTTCCCAGTGGCTGCTTCAGCAAGGCCTGGAGATGAGCGACTCCAAGCGAAGGGCCTTCTACCGCTGGTACCTGCTGGAGCGCAACACCCCAGGTATGAGGTTGAGGCTCCTGTAGGAGACCAGTGCTGCACAGGACTGACCCTGGGTGATGGTGCCCAATTAATGATGACAGGTCCCTGTTATGTAGGGCTACTTAACCAAAGGTGTTTCATGTGGACTGCATGAGCTGCCTAATTTGACTGCCCCTTGTGTATCACACTGCCCTCATCCCGAAGTACTTTATTTCATGGTTTTGTGTCCCTACCTCAAATGGGTGTAAGGGGTCAGAAAGAATGTTAGGGAAGTACACTATTTAAAAGCTTTTGCACGCACTGAGATATATTCTACATTAGCACGTCACTCACTTAACATGTACTAAAAATACTCTCAATATTCTTTGATAAAAAATACGTATGTTCACCATTTGAGTACCCTTATTAGCAAGAAAGTGTCATATCTTTCATTCATCAAGGTAACCTTCTCTAGCAGTTATGTAACAGCAGCGAACATTCGTGACATTGTACCTACAAAGGACATTAAATACTGCTTGGTTTCATGGGAGGAAACAGTTAACTAGTGCATTTAAAGTTAAGGACAGCCTAGAATCTAACTATGCCGTTACCACACAGCCATTTAATAGGTGTCAGGCATGCACTGTTACATACTCTTTCCTTGTTATAAAGGAAACTCCTTTTATTTGACTTATATTTTCATTTATAGTTGTTCACTCAACTTTCCAGTGCTTAACAAGAGCAAAAGAATCAGTAGTTTGAAATAAATGAAAAAGTGGTGAAACCCTGTGGTTGATATTCTTTTGACTGATAGTGTGTCTGAATTAAAGATCATCAAATTTTGTTTCAACCAACCAGTTGAGTACTCTGTGACGGTGACCCTGTGACTGTGACTGATTGGTTGAAACACACTCTTGGTCTGGATGTTTACTTTCTGAACCTGAACTTTCCACCTCTGGAAAATGGTGATTTTCAAGTTCTCTTCCAGAGCATGTTGTGGTTTTCATTCATTTCGCCCTCTGTTCTTGTGAACTAAGATCTAAATGTCAACCATGTTCTCTTTTAGTTTTTTTTTTTTAAGTCAGAGGAATTTTCAGTTCTTTTCGCTTTAATTCACGTCTGAATCTTCTGCATTATGGAGCTCTGCCACTTTATATTCGTTGGGTTTGTTGTTGCATAACAATTAATAATAATAATAATAATAATAATAATAATAATAATAATATTTAATATTGCCCCTTGTCCTTCTGTAGCTGTCACCAGGGAGGGGGCTGGATATTTTGGGCATGAAGGCTTATCATATGCTTATCAAATTGTAAGGGCCCCTGTCACTTGGGGGCTCTTGGAATAATCCTAATTCCCCCCCCCCCCCCCCATTATGGCACTCCAGGCAGCTGGGGGACGCTATAGGTCATGACTCCATCCTTGGCCTAACGGCTTCTGCTGTATGTTGTTAACATTGGATGTACTTTTGGTTAGGATGTAGGTGGAATGAAAGCCAACATGCACAGGTGCCCAGACCCAGGACTGAGCATCCCTGGTGCAGGCAGAGGGAACTGCTGACACACCTGCTCCCATGGTACTGTGCACATCCTCCGCAGCCAGGTAACAGCACTGCGCTCTGCTATCGGCTCGCCAGCCTTCATACTACCTGTCATAATGCAAAGACTGTTGAGATAAGACCCCTGATTTAAGGTGAGGAACCTTAGTACATGATGGTGTGACTTGAGCCCTCAGTGTTTGTCCCCCCCCCTCATCCCTGCTGCTTTTGGCTTGCCAGTTTTTGTGCTGTCTGTCACCGATGTTTCCCATACTGAATAACAAAATACAAGACTGCAGCGCTGACAAGACCCCTGATATGAAGTGAAGCATCTCAGTATGTGTCAGTGTGAATTGAGCCCTCAACGG